TCTGGATTTGGAAGGCAAAAAAAGAAAAAAAAGACAAATTGACCTCCCGCTCATTTTCTTCCTGGCTCCTGAGATGTTCAAATGGTGTCACTTCCCTTGCCTGGCCCACCTGCTACCAAGCACATCTTTGGCCTTTTCTCTCACGCTGCCCACATTACCATTTGTAGCCTGTAGGCCAGTGTTTCCCAAACTTTTCACATATGTGTACCCCTTCTATAATTTTCGTAACGCTGAGTACCCCTCATAAAAAACATATGGTACCCCTGGGGGTACGCGTACCACACTTTGGGAAACACTTAGATAACACTGCAATTCTCCGGCGTTTAAACAGCTCCGCGGCTCAACGTCAACTGTTAATGTTCCCGCAGTTTAAAAATGGCCGAACCTGAGCTGCGCGAAGGATGCGCAGAAGTTCCCGCCATAATGAGTTGCGATATGATGTACGATGGCCCCAGTTCCCGTGTAAAAACTGCGATACGTGCCTATTTCTTTCCTTGTTCTGTGGGCGCAGCTAAACACGGTGCAGTGGATATTCCCACGTGATCTTCACCAAACTCCGGTGCAACGCGTACCCCCACCAAACTCTTCCCGTACCCCTGGGGGTACGCGTACCACACTTTGGGAAACACTGCTGTAGGCCATCAAGAAGCACTGCAAAGACCTCTGTCGGGTTTATGGAGATTCCATAAGGTGAAGGAGACTCCATAAGGAGATTCTCCAAAGGTGCTTTTTTTTCGAGGCAACTGGGCTTTCTGGTTTTTCTTTGAAGACGTTTCACTTCTCCTCTCAACAACACTGGACCTTTGGGTCAAAGTCGAGTTGTTTCTTTCCTTGCTGGGCAACCTCTACAGGTGGTCCTCAACTTACAACAGTTTGCTTAGTGACCCTTCAGAGTTACAACTGCACTGAAAAAAAGTGACTTGGGACCATTTTTCACACTTACGACCATAGCAGCATTACCCATGGTCACGTGATTTACATTCGGATGCTTGACAACTGATTCACATTTACAATGGTTGCACTGTCCCGGGGTCATGTGATCAGCTTTTGTGACCTTCTGACAAGCAAAGTCAAATGGGGAAACCAGATTCACTTAACAAGTGTGTTACTAATTTAACAACTGCAGTGATTCAATTAACAAATGTAGCAAGAAAAGATGTAAAATGAGACAAACTCACTTAAGAAATGTTTCACTTAGCAACATAAATTTTGGGCTCACTTGTGGTCGTAACTTGAGGACTACCTGTATTTCATTTTTTTTGCCTCGACTGCTACAGGTAGTCTTAACCACCACAATTGAGTCCAACATGTTGGTTATCCAGTGACATTTAAGTGAGTTTGGCCCCATTTTACGACCTTTCTTGCCTCATTTGTTAAATGAATCACTGCAGTTGTTAAATTAGTAACACGGCTATTAAGTGAATAGTGCTTCCCCATTGACTTTGCTTGTCTGAAGTTCGCAAAAGAGGATCACGTGACCCCAGGAAAGTGCAACCATCGTAAATACAAGTCAGTTGCCAGGTCTCTGAATTTTGATCACATGACCATGGGGATCCTGTGAAAAACAGTCCTAAGTCACTTTTTTTCCAGTGCCATTGTAACTTCGGTCATTAAACAAACTGTTGCAAGTCGAGGACTACCTGTATTTTCTTCCTCTGACTTTACCTTCTCATTCTGCAAAACTCTTTTGTCAAGATCAAGTAACGCCGTACCTTTGAGCTCTTCACAACCTGGATCTGCATGAGGAAACGTGATTATGCAGTGCCAGAACTATTGCACTGAAACACAACCATCAACTGCTATTGAGAAAGTGCAGTTGTTTAGTTTGTGACAAACTGCATTATCTTTTGGATTCAGAATAAACGCTTTATTTTGGCTTCTAATAGTATCTGCTTAATGGCACAGATTTGCCCTGTTAGAGATAGCCAATGTTTTTGATCCTTTTTTTCTGGATTTCACTTCATGTCTCTATGAGATGCTTTATCACTCACAAATCAGCATTTGTAAGGTATTTGATTGCAGTAATCCAGCCCCCCTCCCAAGTGCAACAAATCTTACTGGGAGTTTTGATATCCATATCTTTTATTTGATTTTTTTAAAATTTTCATACAATACAGCCACTAGGTGTCTTTTTAAAGCATTACATTTAATGAATTGTGTATAAAACACATACATCATAAACACACAAGATTTTTGTTTCTCAATCCAAGGGTGAAATCTTCAACAGCAGATGCACTGAAATTATCCCAGAGTGTGGTCAAATTAATGGAGAACTCTTTACTTCAAATTCACAAATTGATCTGACAAAGTGTTTTTCTCTAAATAAGGAAATCATCTTATTTATTAATCCTCCGGAATGTTGCACATCTAAATATTTTCTGAAAAAAGTGAGCTATACAGTAATAATTCAATGCTATCATATAATCACCATTTTGCCAATATATATGTACATTCAGAGAAATAAATATCACCAACAACTTAAACATTTAAATAAATAAATAAATAAATAAATAAAAAACAATTGGTGCTTGATGTGAAAATAAATGAGGTTTTTTTTCAGAACTCATGCACATCTGAAGAACATTTAAAAAGAAACTATTTCACAAAGGCTGAACTGTGCCTTTACGTTTATGCAAAAATCTGCTATAGATTTACCTATTGCCAAATGGGCATATGACAAAATACAGAGTTAATTTTGGATATCAAAATTCAGGTGGTTGGTTTTCCTGCCATTTGCAATATAAACATTTGTAAAACAAGGTTGATGAAGTCTTTCAAAACAAATTTTATTATCAGATACCATCTTTGAGAACTGTTTAACCCTGAAAGGTGTCTTAAGAATATTTCTATGTATAAGCCTGCACCTTTCAGCAAGGATATGCAACATTGGGATGTGTGGGGTCAAGTGAATTGTGAGAAGGACACTAAAGATAAAAAATGGATCTCAAAGTGATAGAGCAAACCCTTTAAGCATATCTATTAATTGCCTTTGATGAAAGTACAGAATTTCATAAAACTCAAGTTATGTAGTCATCATGTTACAATGTAGCATAGGATTAGGCCACATTTATCACTTAATCTAACAATTAAAATCTTTAATCACACAATCACCTAATATGCTATTTTTTTCAAAGCTATCATATTTCAGACGATTACAGGTAGTCCTCAATTTACAACAGTTCATTTAGTGACTGTTCAAAGTTACGACGACACTGACAAAAGGGATGTATGACCATTTTTCACATTTAAGACGGTTGCAGCATTCCCAATTTAGAGCATATCAAATTTTTCAACTTTTAATTTCCAAACGTTGGGGTGCTCAAAAGTTGTGACATGCCTTGGGGATTATAGATATATTTTAGTTACTTTAATATAATTTAGATGTGCTTGGTAAATAACATACATAAATGTCATAACTTTTTAACATTTTATTGTTTCACATGATGAAGATTCGAATGCTTGGCAACTGGCTCATATTTATGACCATTGCAGCATCCCAGCATCACGTGATTCCCTTTTGCGACCTTCTGACAAGCAAAGTTAATGGGGAAGCCAGATTCACTTAACAACCGTGTTACTAATTTAACAACTGCAGTGATTCACTTAAATGATGCACTTAAAATGGAGCAAAACTCACTTAACAAATTTCTCACTTAGCAACATAAATTTTGGGCTCAATTGTGGTTGTAAGTCGAGGATTACCTGTATTGTACATTTTCTTTTGGTTGGGAATTATTTATGACCCTGTGTTCAGAAGTTTTACAAGAGGAACGAGAAGCAAACACTGCAGCTGCTATGCTATCACAGCCCAACGGATAAGGCTACCCATTAATATTTGTAGAATAAAGTTATGCCAAATGCTTCCTGCCAACAGACCCTAAAAAGGCATGGATTTTATCTCTAGACTTTGTAATCAGGCAATATTCATTCAGAGAACAACAAGGCTTCAGCTGGAACCCTCATCTGAAAGTAGTTCTAGCTACAACCATTTTGCTTATGTCGTAAGTGAACCTTTGCAAACGAATTTACCAACATTTGTGCCTTGGATCTTAGCATGCCCCCTCCAAACAAAACATTCAGCATACAGGATGCCAGCACTGTACTATGATAACAGATTCCTTAGATGGCACCTCCATGTACATTCAGTTTAGGAATTAGATCAGGGATGGGTTCTAAATTTTTTTACTATCGGCTCTGTGGGCGTGGCTTGATGGTCATGTGACAAGTCTTTAGGATTTAGCAGAGGTACTGGTCTACCAGGCTTTTAACTGCTTGCAGAGCTCTACTGGTCTACACATTTATTTTTGCAGGCAGCGGCCTACTCATTTGTTTTTGGAGGCACCAGTCTACCACCAAACTGCCTTTTACCACTGGTCAGCTGTAGGGCAGCCCTTTGAAGCCCCAGGGCAAGAGTTTAAACAGTTTTTTTCCTTATAGCCCATCAGCTGGGACTCAGGAGGCAGCAATAAATTGGGGGTGGGGCCAAATAAAATGTAAGAATAACGCAGGGTTGGGGAGTGGCAGAACCGATTCGGTGACGTCATATTGTCACCGCTACCGGCTCGGCGGAACCGGGCAGAACCCACCACTGAATTAGATGTGTTCAGATCTCAACCCACTCGGAAGGAACCAGCCTACGTTGTACTGATAGCATAGTTTAGGCTTACAGAAATGTAATTTAGGTCACAATGTTGTATTACTTAGGTAGAAATAAATTCCATTAGCCTGCCTAGAACTTTCCTCTAGGCCAAGGGAACCTAGCTCACATTCTGACATCCGTGAAGCCACCTGGTTTGGCTTCTCCCAGAGTATGTTTTTATGTCATGCTCTAGAGACCTAAGGCTGTTTTCTTTCTTTGTGTACAAGTCTCATCTGGCAACCGGAATACCAATCCATCCTCATCCATTGGCCAGATAAGGAGTTAATGCTCCACTTCCTGCTTTGTCTTCTCTCCCCATTTTTTTCATATTGTTTTTAGATGATGAATCTTCAGGCAGCACTTTAGCTTTTCCAAGTGCTTTATGTATTGCAACATAACACGGTATATATCCTTAAGATGCTGGTCTGTAAAGTTCTCTTGAAACTGAACTGCACGTGTTTTGTACAGCATATATGTCTGTGCATGTATCTGTATGCACTGCCTGTGCATGTATCTATACATACATAAATGAAAGACTAATGCCATCTTTTTCTCTTCTAACTATGATGTCTTACAAGGTAAAAGTTGAGAAACCATAGGCTCAGTAAGCATGATGGCTATGATCCTGCAAAGCACCCAGTTGGCACTTAAACAGTGGCAAAGTATCAACATGAAGACTATAACAAAATGAAGGTAAATGAAGAATCACTAACACTGAAATAATTACTGGACTCTGAAACGAAATGTACTGTATATACTACAGCAAGTGCTGCCTCTATGTCTCAGTCCATACTGTATACAGTTTCCATGAACATGATGATTCCGTGTGTGGTTTGTATGGGATGCTTTTCTCTCTCTACGCCTTTCCTCTTCATTATAAAAGAGAGTCTAATTCCTGCCAACAGAATAGACAGTGTTGTTCTCTCATGCCTCAGCCAATTGGCGACTCCTTTGAATCCCTATGAGGTTGGAGAGCTTTTCACAGTTCTCAAGTTTTATGGATTCGGCTTTCTGTTTCAGTCGCTCATCTCGGTATAGCTTGGCCAAGTTAGATAACTCTGATTCTGAAAGATGAAATGTATATTTCAGCCACACTTTCAGGAATTTTTTTTTCACATTTTATATTCATTTCAAAGCCTGACTTACGTTGTTTTGGTCAAAATGAAAAGCTACTTACACCCAGAAATATATATAATTCTTAGATACAACTGGCAGAACAGCATCCATGAGTGCTGTAAAAAGCGTTAGAAAAATCTTTTGATACAGCTGGGGTATCAGAACCATAAACAACTATGTTTAAACAAATCCTTAACATCAAATACATAGATTTCATGTTGTCAGTAGGCAACAGCAGAATGAAATATCTGTATTTTTGCTATATATCATTTAGTCTTCTTGGCAGCTGAGCTGGTTATAGCTGATTCTTTGTTTGTTTGTTTTTAACCTAAATTTGAAAACAATGTAGGATGCTTGGGAAAAGAACAAAACTTACTTTGTTGTTTTTCTTTCCTGCAACTAGTTTGGACATGATCAATATAATCTTTCTCGATATGTTTTTCAAGTTCTTCAAGTTCTTCTCCATGATAATTATTTTCAAAGTGCTTATCCACGTAATAAGGCACCTGCAGGTTTTGTGTTTCTCTAACAATAGTGTGCCCTAGAGACCTGTGGTAGGAAATAAGTAGGAAATAGATTAATGCCTTCATTGCAAACCAGAAGTAGCTTTTTCCCTCAATTAATACTTCTGTTTAACATTTCCTGTGAACAAGGGGAATCACTGACATGCCCTAGGCAAAGGGTGGCTGATTATGACCAGGCCCATCTTCCAAGTAGTTCCAGCTATAAAACACCCGTTTCTGGTTTATTTTAAAACAGCTGTGTCCTGTAAACTGATCAGGACCACTACATCAAGCATCAAATAGCCAGAAAGAAAAATCAACTCCCTAAAACAAACTGTGAATTCCATCTCAAAATATCTTTTTGACCAGAAGAAGCTACTGTACTGTATTTACATCATGCGACTTGAATACAAAGCCGAAATGGTTGACCTGCAGTTCCAATACCTCAGTGAAGATTGAAGCTTTGATTCTGTTACCACAATAAAATATATTTCTTTGTTGTAATCCATTTATATAATCCTATAAGGTTCAGAATCCTCCATATATATCATGGTTTACACATAAAGAATACTACCCACAAGAATTACAGATTTTTCAGTTTTCCAGTAATTAAATATCATAAGATTTTTTTTTACTTCATATCTCATTTCTGAAAGGCATAGGCGCACAATCTGGAACATGAAAACAAAATATGAGAAGATGCAACACTATGCTTTGGAAGAGTACTGATGTAATTTAGCATGATAAATCTCTTTGCTATCTATTTCATTTGTAATAATTTTCCTTTAAAAATTGTTTATCCTGGCTTCGTGCCCAATTCAGAAGGGCATACAATACTTTAAAATCCTATTATTGTAAAAATTACTACCAAAAAATACCGGGAAACAGATTCTGCAACATTGCTTAGAAGATTCTAAAACTTTTCTCCATTAATTCTGCCTCTGTTCTACACAAGATACAGGTAGCCCTCGACTTATGACCAGTTGCTTAGCGACCGTTCAAAGTTCCAAAAGACCTCCCTAAGACTACTTACAACCTGGATTCAAAATTCTGATAGCCACCTCACACACACACAGTCACATAATTGCATTTTGGGTGCTCAGCAACTGGCCCACACTTACACCTGTTTGCAGCATATGCTGCAGTCAAGTGACTGTAATTTTACAACATTGTTTGGCCAGAAACCAGCATTTACTTCCAAGTTTCTGGCAAAAAAAAAAAAGTGCATTACAGACGATGGTTTGGCTTACTGACTGTTGCATTCAGTTAATGACCACTGTAAAAAAGATCCTAAAATTGGGCCCGGTCACCTGGTGTTCATTTAATAATTGGCATGATTTACAACTGTAATTCCAAAATGAATTACGGTGATAAGTCAAGGACTGCCTGTACAGGGAAGGAACAATGCAGGACCATATAGAAGGAAGCATTTCTACAGGTGTCCTGGAGCTGTATCATTGAAAAGATGTTCCTATCGCAGATAGTAAATGTCTGAATTCCAGCCTCTGTTTGGTGCTGTTTTTATTTGCTTTAAATGTAGCCTATAGCAGCTAACCACATTTCATATGCAACGAAGCAACCTTCCACAAACCAAGGTTCTTTGTGATATATTGAGATTACAACTCCCAAAATCCCTAAACTGCCATGTAATATTTGATACTCTTTTTTTAAAAAAACGTTCTATTTCAAGTGGCTACTTACAAAGTAAGACTGGCTTTTTTTTTCTGATTAGTTTTTGTTTCAAATTGCCTGGTACAAAACCACAGAAAACAATTTAATCTTTTTCTATCCATCCTTTGGCATCAAAATATTTAATCTGAAAATGGATTTCTGTGAAGGCATTGTGGATCTTAATGTAATGTATTCAGATAATAAAAGAATAAAAAAGAAAATGCTCACGTTTTTAATGAAAACAATATTGCTTGTTATAGAGCCATGATGGTGAACCTATGGCATGCGTGCCACAGGTGGCACGCGGAGCCATATTAGTGGGCACGCCAGCTCAGCTCTGGGGCGCATGCGTGCGCCCGCCAGCTGATTTTCGGGCCTTCTGGGCCCACCAGAAGTAGGGAAACAGGCTGTTTCCTGCCTCTGGAGGGCCTGGGGGGGGGGGTGGGCAAGGCCCGTTTTTCTTTCTTACCTGGCTCCAGAGCCTCTCTATTTATCTGGGAAGGGCGAAAACAGCCTTCCCCACTCCCTCGGAGGCCTGAAAGGCCCCGTTTCCCAACTCCCGGTGGGACAGGAAGTGACTTTTTTTGCTGTCCCTAGCCTCCAGAGACTCCTAGAGGCTCTGGAGGCTGGGGACAGCAAAAAAATGTCACTCCTGTCCCACCGGGAGTTGGGAAATGGGCTGTTTCAAGCCTTTGGAAGAAGTGAGAAAGGCTGTTTTCGCCCTTCCCAGATAAATAGAGAAGATCTGGAACCAGGTAAGAAAGAAAAACGGGCTACCAGGCCATCATGTGCCAGGAGGGGGGGTGCGCGTGGATGCGCGTGGGCACGTGCGTGCGCAACCCTCCCCCGCCCCCCCTCTCCTGGCACGTGATGGCAAAAAGGTTAGCCATCACTGCTATAAAGCAATAAGTCAAAGTAGTTTATAGGTTTAATGTCCCATCCTTCAAATAATTTGCAGCACGGAAATTAAGTTCTCTTTTCAAAAAAACTTTCAGCTTGGAATGTATAGCTATGGGTATGCATTTTCCAAGATAAAAAGCTTTTCAAATTAACTGCCATTTATATATAATGAAGTAGAGGCCTCTTTGAGCACCAAGATTAAACCTGCTGTTGGAAAATTAGTGTCAAGAAGTAGCCTCTATTCTCCCAAGAGCACAAAGAAACAGCTCTAGACTTACGATTTAAAGAAGAGGCTGTAGGGTGGATTAGTAGCCATCAGCTGAGTTACTATTGATACAACTATTATAATAAAGACTGGCAGTAACTGGATAAATGCTGAGTAGGTATTCTGGAAATGAAAACTACAGTTAGTAAAGCATGTAAGAAATATATGGCGAAAATGGAAACTACAATGGTTAATAGAATCATCCCAGATAGGGCGTTCTGTTTTAATTTAGAACAAAAGCATCGGCAAAAATGTAACATAAAAATTAATATTTAATCTTATGCCAAAATCTCTCGTGGTTTTCCATTTTAGAAGGCTTGTTTTGTTTGTGGATGCAAGTTAATTTGATGGCACCTGGGGGGGGGGGTCAATCTGGATTTTTAGATTTTTGACAATGATAAATAGATAAAATAAAATAGTATCTACAGTCATTAAGAGCTGGGCAGCTTACAAATTTTATTGTGGCTGGTCGTACAGTCAGCCAGATGTTTAGACAGGATTTGGCATTTTTGTCCATCTGTTGAGTCCAAGGGAAGGTCCTTGGAATATTCTTATTTAAGAATATTAAATGTCAAATTGTTCCAAGTAAAGCTGCCTTTTGCAATTGACTTTGTCAGTGCCAATGGTATTCAAGTGGTGCTCCAGATGTTTAGAACATTATCCAAGGTTCTTATTCTTATTAATCGCACAGTCAGCCAGATGTTCATACTGGGTTTGGCATTTTTGTCTACCTATCGAGTCCTTAACAAGGACCTGGGATAGGCAAATCTGGATGTTTGATGATGTTACAGATATCGTCGCAGGATAGAAGCAGTTCCAAGTAAAGCCGCCTTCTGCAATTGACTGATGGCAAATTTGTCAATGCCTACAGTGCTTCAGTTGTTTTGGGACTGCACCCAAAGCACCTATTACTATTGGTACTACCCTTGCTGTAGTCGTTCTATTTCTATTTGTAGGTCTTTGTATTTTGTTATCTTCTCCAGTTCTTTCTCTTCTATTCTGCTGTCTCCAGGCACTGCCACATCCACTATCCAGACTTTTTTGTCTTTCTTATCGACAACTGTTAAGTCCGGGGAGTTATGTGGCAGGTGCCTGTCTGCCTGGATTCTGAAGTCCCAGAGCAATTTAACTTCTTCATCTTCTATGATTTTTTTCTATTTTATGGTCCTACCAGTTCTTGCTTACAGGCAAATGATATTTCTTGCAGATTTTCCAATGCACCATTGTTGCTACTTTGTCACGATGCTGCTTGTAGTCAGTCTGTGCAATCTTCTTGCAGCAGCTTACCAGGTGGTCCACTGTTTCTTTAGCTTCTTTGCATAGGCGGCACTTACTGTCTGTTGTTGTATTTCCAATTCTGGTTTTGTATACATTTGTCCTTAAGGCTTGGTCTTGTGCAGCCAGAATTAATCCCTCAGTCTCTTTCTTTAACTTTCCTGCTCTTAGCCATTGCCAGGTCTTGTTATTATCTGCATTCCCTGCTATTTTTTTAAATGTACTGGCCATGTAGTGCTTTGTCTTCCCATGGTTCCATTCTGTTCTTCATTTGGTCTTTCTTGTAGGCCAGTTTGGTGTCTCCAGTAGTGCATCTTCTTCATTGTCCTTCAGATATTCTTCCAAAGCCCTTTTTTCTTCTTCAACTATCTGATGTACTTGCAACATTCTACGCCCACCTATTTGCCTTGGTAGGTAGAGTCTGTCAATGTCGTGGCGAGGATGAGGGTTCATTATTTGTCTGGTCTGGTCTGGTCTGGTCTGGTCTGGTCTGGTCTGGTCTGGTCTGTCTGTCTATTGTTGTTATTCTGTTATTATCATTTCCTCCTTCTGCCTTGTACTCTTTAAATGTGTTCCAGAAAGTTTGGTAGCGGTTTGAAGTGGATTTGGTGCTAGGTTTACAATTATGGTAGTTCCTGTTCTAGCTCCTATTTTCTTTAGAAGAAAGAATAAAAACTGGAGATCTGGGAAGCAAAACCATTTAGAGTTTAGTCTAACTAATTCATTAAGAAATTCAAATTCAACGGAAGGTGTATTGTCACTGAATGACAGAGTTGGTCAATGTGCTATGCAAAGGACAGCTTGTTATTTAGTCAGAATATAACAAAGGAGAACTAAATATGGCCTATCTATAACAAAACAGCAAAGATTTTATTAATCAGCTCAGAGATTTAAATTACTTCTCATATTGAAAAAATAATTCAACATACTTCGTATTTTATGGTTAATTTCTCATCAGTGATATACTCAGCATTAACTGTATAACTTTGATAACTCTTTCATCCACTTACTGATGTTATATCTCTGAATCAATTGAAAAAAACGTTCACCAAAGGAAACACCATGCCGTTCAGTGGAATTTGTAGCCACATTTATATAAAACTATAAATCTGCAAATGCTTTCAAAATCTTTCTTTAAAAGGCAAGCTACAATTAAGATCCTTCTTAATTCATAAATATCACTTCACTTTAAAATAGTTCAAATATTTACTAATTACAAAAAAAATAAATAATCCCAAGCTTCCTTTTCTAGGGATAGGCAATAAATCGGCACTGTCTATGTATGATTATAATGTCTTCCCTTCCCTATGTACCTGTGGTCTAATTTCTTCCTCCTGTTCATCCTGGACCCATGTCCTCTCATGTCTGTTCCGCTGTGGATAACATGGGGGGTCCATTGAAGAATTGGAAAACATATGTATATTTCCTGTTGAAATAGCAATAGAACAAAGGTGCAATTTTTATCCCGTATTGCTTGTGTCATAAGAAACTATTTCATTTTATTTTTAAAAAGCTCATTTCAAACTTGCCTTTTTAAAAAATAAATGCAAGAGCTTTTTCAGTCCATTAAAAACAAGACACTTCCTATGCTGTTTTCATTTCATAGACTTTCAAAGGGCTGCATGTTATAGTAGTGGGAACATCTAATGAGCAGAATTCTACCTGTGGAACTTGGGATCAAACATTCATCAAACATGTAGTACTTGTCTTATTAAGGCAAAAAAAGGAATACAGTGCTACTGTAGAATTGCATGATTTTCCCGTTTCTGGTGATATTACATCTGCATACTGCCAAAACTGAAGAAGTAAAGCAATAAAACTAAATCGGTAACCCTCATATCGCTCACCTACATAGTGATTTTGTCATAAATTAGATTTCTCAGAACTGCAGTACAAATCAGTTTAATAACATTCCTATAAAGCAGAGCACCCTTCTCAAACAAGCTGTCCAGAGTCATTGACTGAGATGGGCGGCCATAAAAATTGAAAGAACAAACAAACAAATAAATAAATATGTGCCTAAAAATGTATTGATTGCATTCCACAATTCTTTACTATTAGTTAGGAAAAAATGAAAATTTTAACTTAACAAAGTGTAAACCCAATAAATGTACTGTGGTATTCAGAGTAGGATAAGCCTAAATAATTGAGAAAAGCTATTTTATGTTTCCTACCCGACAGAACTACGTGTAATGACATGGTCTAGTTGAAATAGCATTGTATCTTGTTAAGTAGCCATATACGCAGCACTTTTAAAGAAAATATAGCTAATTGGTTTCTGAAGTTCTTTGGAAACTTCAGTCATCAAAACCATATCTGGAGCTTCATCAGCAATTAAAGGCCCCATGAAGCAGGGGACAGAGTCTCGTACAGATGACTGAACAGTACCTTTCATTGCACTTTAAAGCACAGCTTAAAAAAAATGTACCTGTTGGGAAATTCCCTCCGAAAAACATATTAAATATTTCTTCTGGCGTTATATCTGCTTCAAATTCTCTGTAATAGTTATAGTGGTTGGGCACATTGGTATAAAAAGTATCTTCCCTTTCTCCAAACTGATCATACTGTAATCTCTTTTCAGGGTTGCTCAAAACTGCAAAAGCTGTGCCTATTGCTGTAGAGTGGAAGAGAAAAATAAAGAAAACCAATCAAAAAAGAAACCCTGATGAAATACATAACCATATTATAGAAGTAACTCCGACAAAACATCTTTTTGTTTCACATACAGCAGAAATGTCTAATGTTTGTATTCTATTATTTGACTATTGGGAAACGGTAATGGTAGAAGAAATAACGTGGAAGAACAGGAGAAAGATAACCAAGTCAATGATTAGATAAAAGAAACCTGACTCCTGGGCAAAAATGTAATTTGAGAAAGTGTCTTAGATATGAACCACTCTAGTTTTCATGAAGATTGTACCCTAGCATGACATGAACTCCTTTATAGGCAAGTCATTCCAATATTATTTTGTATTCATTTCACATCCTTCCTGGTAGTAACTATTATTGTACTTAATACACATTCTCTTTGGAATGAGATCTGAATATAGTGCTTGCTTTACTGTTTTCTTAATTATGTATTGCCTGCCATCACACAGCCACCTTTAGTGTCCAATGGGAACAGAAATATGGAATTTCAAATCACCATATGATCTAGATTAGGATTCAGACTAACCTGACAAGTTACATCAATCACTGACATCAAATGCTTACAAAGAATTATATGTAAGGAATATCCAAGTAGCAACTATTTCCTAAGAGGTGGCAACATTAGAATCTTTCTTAGTGTTTCACTTAGAATTATACAATACTACAATTGTATGTAGGAACATGTTCTAAAAATATCTTCCTGTTAGCCAACACAGCACTGGAAGATCTTCAAAGTTTGTTGTGGTCCCTGTCAAGTTGTTTCACCTACCTTTGAATGCATCTGTTGCTCCTGGAGCACAATTCTTGTCAGGATGAAATTTAAGAGCAAGTTTTCGGTAAGCTTTCTTTAGTTCTTCATCTTTCGCATCTCTTCCTACGCCTAGAATTTCATAGTAATTCTTACTCTCCTTTATTCTACAAAACAAGCACAATTCTTTAATTTTTTAACTTTTTGCCAAATACTATTACAGATTCTTATTAATGCTAAAGCATACCTTCCAACCTAGTAAGGTGCTTTTCTAATTTTGTTATACTTTGCAGATTTGCTTCACTGATAGAAAAAGTTTCAGCTGCTCTTGGGCATCGAGTGCAATCCAAGTTAAACTTACATAATGAAACCTGTGTTGCACTATTGGGATGCCAGTTCCAGTGCTTTTGTACATCTGTTGTCACATATGTAAGGGGTTGAGTTTGGGTCACAACACTGCTTTCATAATTCTGACAAAAGCCTCTGATCCTACAGATGTTTGAGCGAGAACACTTGTCCTATGCTTACTGGATTGCCTAGCAACTTTTGGTATAATTAAGCAAAATATATTTCTGTAGTCACTGAGCCAATTGAAATCTCACACTCAGAACTTGACAACTACTATTCTTCTGACAGTAAATAGGTGGGATCTTCTTAGCATTTTACAGTATCCCCATGTTATTCAAAACTGGCATAGCTTCTGTACAATATATAAGATATGGACGGCTCCATTCCAAATGAAACAGAGGATTTCATTTCTTTGGTAAGCAATTATCTGAAGTCAGTAATGAATTATTTAATTGAAATTCTGTGTATACAAGATAACATGCCCAGTGTGAACAGAACATCCCAAATCAGGAGCTCTCCAAATGTCTTGTTCCACAATTTTCATAATTCCTAGATTTATTTAATTTAACAATTCCTAAATAATAAGACACACAGCTCAATCTATTTGGTGGGCACCAGATTTGGGAAAACAGAGATTAGTTTTATAAATTTATTAATTAAACAGGTTGCAAGCCTTACAAGTATGAATATATTCTAATTAGGCAAGTTCCTATTTACCTTTGAACTCCAAGTAACTGTTCCTTGGTGTAGGTCATGCTGCCTTCTCCAAATGTTGACTGGCTTCTTCCACTGTCACACATACGTTCCTTTTTCATTCTTATACAGTCACTACAGCCACAGCAATCAAAATTGTTTCTTACTTCCTCCAATGGACATGGATTTCTTCTCAGCTCATCAATTAATGCTGAAACAATGACAGCCTTCCTATGTATGTATATTTACCAAAGTGGATCACAAATGACATACTTCAAAATACCCATGCACAGCTATCTATATCTATATCTATATCTATATCAATATCTATCTATCCTATTTTATCTTGAGTCATTAACTTATAAAATACATACAAAAATGCACAACAAAACTGGAAGTCCGTTAAAATCATGATACATCCATCTCTCCACATCTTTGCTTAAATCTAAAGCTCTAAAACTTTGCAATGATTTTTTTCAGGAAAGCTAATTACGAAGAATATTAAAAAGATATATTTTGAAATGATAATAAGCAAGGATGGTAATTCAGCAGTTCTTAAGAAACCATCACATAAGGTTTGGAAGCAGTTCACACATATCTCTTGGTGTGTGAATTCTGTTGGAAACCTAAGTTCTTCCTATGGTTCAGAAGGACAAGTTATTACAGTAAATTTCAATTCATTTCTAACATGTGGTCCAACAGCGATGCCGGCCCACCAAATATTTTCATTAGTAATGTAGATTTAAAAAACTCATGCAACCCTATTTTTATGCTGTATTTCTAGCCGCCCTGCATGTACATCCAGTGTTCTGTCTACAATTATGTGCAAGATTTTCCTTAAAGTTCTACGTAGTTGCATAAATTGCAATACCTTGGGTATATATCCTTGCCCGAACTGCACAATAGGTTAAAAATCCCCCCCAGAGTTCAAAACTTTTTTTCCCCTCATTCTTTTGCATTCTACAATCTATCCGTGGTTCCTCAGAACTAAAAGCTAACTTCCATTCTCAAATCTCATTCAAGCAACACTTCCTGTTTTTACCTAGCTGCATTACCCTGCTGGCCTCTGCTCCTCCTGTCACCTGAGACATATCAAAGCGCAGGTATGTTTATCTGCTGCAAGAAAAAAAAATGCTTTTCCAAGGTGATTGATTTTTAAACAGCAGCACAAACTGACGCAATCCACGTGTGTGAATGATTTTGCCCTTCACTGGTAAACACATACACACCCCTGAACTAAGAAAAATTGAAAAGATCACGCAGGCAAGAGGAAGGAAGACATTTATGCCTTTCTATGCAAACTCACAAACTTTGCAAGTTCAATATTTTTTTTATACCCTTTATCTGTCAATAGAAGCATCGCCTTCCTAAAGCGCTCTCCGTTTCCTTTCTTCCAACTTGCATTTCTCATTTGAAAAGTGCCCCCGTATCCATCTCTCTGATTTAAAAAGCTGGAGCCACAATATGGGATTTGGTCGGTCGGTGATGTCTCCCAAGAAGGCTCTCCTCTCTGGGTAACCGGAGCACCGATGTCCCTTAATAAGATTTAAGCCCCCAATTCGGCCCTTTCCCCCGGCTGTGGCCCGCGTCATCGGCGCAGAGCCTTACCTTCGGCCCAGCGATCCCCGGGGCTCAGTCCTGCCATTTTCCCATCTGGTGGGAAGGAAGGATCCACCGAGCAGCCGGGAGGGTCACGTGAACGCGAGCACAGTGCAGCCTGGGTAACGTAGTCCTCGCGTGTTCGGCAGCTGCCCCGGCCCCCCCTCTCCCTCCCTCCCTCCCGCCAGGGCCCAGCACTTTTGGCGGGAAAAGAAGCGGTTGCCCGGTTGTGAAAAGCCGCGCGAGCTGCAAGTGGGAGGGGGGGAGGAAGGGCGGGCTCGCGCGCTCCGTCTTTATAACTCGCAAGCGCGCGGTCTCTTCCGAAACCGAGCCGTCATTTTTCTCTCTCCGGAGTTTCTAGAAGTCAAACCACCGCAGGGTTTTTTTTTTTTTTTACCAGGGAGATGAGAGCGCTAGAGCGGCACACCCCCTTTTTTTGGCGCCCATAGAGAAGCGTCGTGAAGAGAGCCCTTTGCTTCCACATCCGAAGGGAGAAGAAGGGAAAATACAAGAATGCTATCATTTGTGGGTCGGTTCCGCCGCTCGGAGGGAGCGCTCCTTTTCTCTTGCTGCGGTTAAAGCACGCAGAAGCATGAAGGCCTTTTATATTCCACGAGGTAGACAAAAGATTCAGGTCTGACTACGACTTTCAATGGCCGCGAAGGCGGTCAGGTCTGGGGTCACCTTTATGGGGAAAGTCCTCCGGGCGGTTTTTAGTACTAAAGAGAAACCCGGAGGAGATGAAATTCCAACTGCTAGGCCAGAAGCACCCGCCATGACGTACTTTCAAATGCCTTTACGTTTGGCATTGACGTTTTACTGAGGGGCCCTTGGCGCTCTCTGAGCTGGCTTGTTTTCTTGCAGACGTTTCATTACCCCAAACTAGGTAACGTCAAACTAAGATGTTACGAAGTTTGGGTAACGTAACGTCTGCAAGAAAACAAGCCAGCTCAGAGACCCCCCAAGGATCCCTCATTTTAACCCTAAACTACAAATATTCTCCTTTATTGATTGACAGTCCACGTCAGAAGCCTGCGCAGCAACTTCCGGCGCTTCACTTTGCGCCGGAAGTGGTAGAAAAAAAGGGAGGAAAAAAGAGGGTTGGTCACGCAGGCGCAATCGCAGCGATTTGGGCCGGCTCTTCCCCTCCCCCTTCTATTCCCCCCGCCCCTCCGGTTGGCCTCCGCGGCGAACAGGAGCAGCGGGCGGCCGCCGTCGGGTGGTCTCCGCTCTCGGAGCGAGCCACGCTCCTCTTTTTCCTCCCCGTGTGGCTCGACTTTTAGGCCCGGGAGGACGGACTCCCCCCTCGCACTCTCCCCCCCTCTCCGCCCAGGGCGGCGGCGGCGGCGGAAGCGACGGCGGGAGCGGCGGCGGGGAGGAGTAGGCCGGGTGCGCAGGGAACAGGTGAGTCACGGCGCCCGGGAGGAGGAGAGCGCGGCGGCGGGAAGGCGCTTCGCTCCACCACTCCCCGCCTCAGGAAGGCTCCCCCCCCTCCCGTGGCTGGGGGTGGGGGAGAGAGAGAGAGAGAGAATAAAACCTCCGTGATTAATTCTGTGTGACGTTAGTGTGTAGAGATACATACATCGATGGACGAAAATGGTAGAAAGCATGTGGCTTATATTATTCCCTTACAAATTGGGTGGAGGGATGTTTGTCCAGATGTTGGATGTTAACTCCCAAGCAGCCTTCAAAGCAGCAATGATGAGCGTTTCATTCCAACCTCTGGAGTCCCATTTTGCTGATCTCTGTCCTACTCCATAGCGTCTTATGTTTCCTATAAAATGTCTCTTATACCACCCTCCACTTCACTATGAATGGAAATGAGTTCCCTATGATTATTGTACAGATAAGTTTGAAAGTTGCAGATTATCAGGACATCTGGGTAAGCGGAGTACAAAGGCCTGGAACTGGGCTGGAGAGACTTGCTGGGGCCAGTGTGAGGATGGGAGGAGGACTCTTTTTAGTTTTGCAGTGACCCTCGCCCCTTATAGGCTGAATTATCTGTGAACAGGTGCAGCTTTGCTGCTGCTTTTTTTTTCTTCCTTCCCCTTTCCTTTGACCCTTTACAAAGTGCTCTGTCCTAAATCTCATGGTTGCCTGTTTGGGAAAGGCATTGTCAAATGTTTTGGATGAGATTGGTTCTGATTTTGTATCTCCTGGTTGCAGTGAAAGGCGGAATACAAATTTGGGCCAGAATACTTCAGATCTGGCAGCTTTTTTAGTTACAGCTTTTTTCGCTATGTTTCTGTATACAGGTAGTCCTCGATTTACAGCAGTTCATTTAGTGACCATTTGAAGTTACAATGACACTAAAATAGTGACTTATGACCATTTTTCACACTTGTGACCATTGCAGCATCCCAGGGGTCATGTGATTTACATTCAGATGCTTGACAACTGACTCATATTTATAACAGTTGCAGTGTTCAGGAGTCATTTTACAATCTTCTGACAAGCAAAGTCATTTAACAACCACATTACTAATTGAACAACTGCAGTCATTCACATAACAAATTTGGCAAGAAAAGTCATAAAATTTGACAAGTTTGCTTAACAAATTTTTCACTTAACAACATACATTTTGGGCTCAATTGTAGTCATAAATTGAGGACTACCTGTAATTGTTTTTAAAATATGAGAGCTGTGTTAGGTTAATGGTCAGGTCCATTGTTCGTCTTAGTCAGGTTGGCAGATGATTGGGGACCTGAGAATTATCTATGAAGAAGATAGCTTTTAAAAAATCATTTGCATATATTTAATGTACAACACTTTGTGTAAATTTCTTACAAAGAAATAGGATCACTAAAAAGCTTGCACTTCAGCTTACTGAATTTGGAAGGGAGCGCAGCTGATTTCAGTGGGAGATATTTCTCAGTTTTAGTGCTCTGGAAAATGGTGTCATTGTACTGTTTTTAATTCTACCTGCCATCATGTCTTCTTGCTTATACAGTTATGATTTCCTATTTTAGAAAGACTGGGTGGAAACTGGCATGTTTTAATGTTTATGCAGAAAACTAAAAATGTTCACTTTTATTAGAGTCATTTATACTGACTTAACTATGGTCTGACTTAACTATGGCTCCTTGGAAGAACATTTCCACAAGTTGCAAAAAATTGTAGGGTTATATATTCTTGTGCATATGAGACTTTCTTTCAAATAACTGCATGGATTGCATCTTAAACCAGTTGACCATATTTATCAACTATAGAAACAAGTGTAGGCTTGCTTCTACTTTGTGCCATTTTCTCTACAAGGTCAACCATGTTTTAGCTTACTGATTTTTGTTTTTAAATTTGTGATTTGTTTTGGAAAAAGTGTTTTGGACTTGTTTTGTATTATACTTATTGCAATAATTAGATACAATTATTGTATTATTATAAAAAGTGTTTTGTAATAATGTCAGATTTCAATTATTTGTTCCAGTATTTTAGTTGGAATAATAACAAAGCTTTTATTACTGAATATCTATGTATGTTAAACAGACATTCACTACCTACAGAATATTACAATGAAAAGCATTTAGTCTGTGTTCCTGTCCTTTTCATTGCTATCAATGAAGTGCAGATTGTCAAGTTTAACTTTAAATATATGGGTTGACCTGATGATGTAGTTTAACTGTTGAAAAGGTGGTTTTAAAATTAATTTACTGTTGGTAGTATGAAAATGCATGCTTTAGGGCAGTTGTAGTTTTCAGTTTCGAGCATACAATATAAGAGTGACAGTGATCACGTTGATGGAAAGTAGAGAAACTGAGTACCTGAATTCTTAAAAATTAGGTAATGATGCTGATATGTATCTGGTTATATCCATAATATACACTTAATTACATTTAACTTTTATAGCATGCATTATTTTTGGAATTGCATGTTTAAGACAGCAGATGAATTCAATGATTTTTTTAAAAATTTGATGTTTCTGAGGAACTAGTTATCAATTTATTGGATTGTAATTCTAGCAAATTAGCAAGTACAGTAAATTGAACTTTTTTCATGTTCTTTGTTTACATTAAATTCAAATTTAGACCCAGTTTTTTTTAAAATATAGATCGGTTTAATTTAAAAAGGCACCGTAATTTAGATTTAGCAAAATTATATTTTTAAAGATATTGAACAGGGTATCCATTATCCCTTGTATTCACTTTAATTATAGAAACATTAGCAGCCACCCTGCTAGTAAACAATTAGTTGTGATTGTAAGCCGCCCGGAGTTACCTTATTTATTTATATATAAATAAATAAATATGCAAATGTATTCAGGAAAGTTTATTAAATGTATTTGAACATGGCATGTTTCTTAATCCCCCTAATACAGCACAAGAAGAAATGTGAAGTTTTATGAGGCTGTCAGGCTTAATGGTTAATTTAAAAAATCTTAGTAAACCTGCATTCACATGATATCAAAAATGTTAGGAAATATTTTAGATAAAGCTTTAAATACTTAGGAGCATATCTATCCAAACAATTTTTAAATCAAGATAAGTGTTACTTTATTAGCATGGATTATTCTATGTAAATATTAATACAAAAATCTGATTTTGAACCAATGTAAAACTGGAATAATAATTAGATAAATTACAAAGGAAGTTAGTGCCAGATTTAGCTAATGGCTACCTTTGGAATTTGGAGAAATTAATTTTTACTTACTCACCTCAACTTAAAAACATGCTTTCTGAAGTTTGTAAGTACTAGTTACAAATAAAAATAAGGAACTTTGTTTGTTGAAAGTAGAATGGGAGATGTAAATCCTGAATAATTAATATGGCTATCTTTAAGGTTGCCAAAGAGGATATGTTAATACATTAGAAAAATTATATCTCATAGTTTTACATTTTTCTGTTTAATCCCAGAAAAGTATTTTACAAACAGATGTTTGATTTTTTTTCTTCGCTAGTGGTCTTTAACAATTTTAAAATCTTAGGCAATGTTTTTGATGAAATAGATGTT